TTAGTCCTGCTTTTGCTCACACAGAGATCCTTCTGCCACTGCTCCCAAGGCCCCTGTTTCTATCTGCTAGGGTTTGGGTGTCCCTTCACTAGCAAGGGTACCTCTAGATGCTGCATCTGTCCTGAGAGGCGCATCCTCAGTCCACAGCCCAGGCAGCCTCCACACTCATCCACCCCCCCAAACTCCCAGATGCTGCCTCTGAGCCTGTGGTGGGCACTGTCCTTGAGCTCAAGGACTCTCTGGTGTCTCCCAGGGCTCCAGAGATGCACCCACCAAGCCTGCTGTTTTCAGGAAATGCATACATACCCCTGTGGCAGCTTTCTTGCTCTTTAAAGTACCCTGCCCCCGGCAGGGTCTTGCTATGTAGCTCAGGTTGGCTTTATACTCATGATCCTCCTGCCTCAGCCTCCTAAGTGCTGAGATGAAAGGTGGGCACCACTGCTAGGAGCTGCATGCTCTGATTCGAGTTTTGAATGAGTGTTGTAGCATGCTTGTGTGATTCCAGCCCTCTGGAGGGTTGAGGCAGGAGGATTGCTGGGAGTTCAGGGCCAGCCTAAGTTCCTAAAATACAATGTGAGACCTTGTTCCTGGCCCCCTCACATCCCTCACTTAAGAAAAAAAAAGGTGGGGGAAACAAAAATCTCAAGATCTGGACTGGGGTTGGGGGTGCGGCTTGGGCGGCAGAGCACTCGCCAAACATGTACGCAGCCTGGGGCTCCATCCCCAGCATTGAGACAAACAAAAATCTCAAGAGCTGTATTTCACTGGGCTTGGTGGTATGTACCTGGAGTATTAAAAGATAGAGGGAAGAGAACCATGGGAAGGAAGTTCAAAGCCAGCCTGGCCTATCTAGGGAGACTGTTTCAAAACAGACAAATAGCCAGGCTGTGGTGGCACACGCCTTTAATCCCAGCACTTAGGAGACAGAGGCAGGCAGATCTCTGAGTTCGAGGCCAGCATGGTCTACAGATCGAGATCCAGGACAGGCACCAAAACAACACGGAGAAACCCTGTCTCGAAAAAAGCAAACAAACAAAAACCCCGACAAATAGTTGAGACTCCACCTCCCTGGCCACTGCTCGGCCTGAAGGCAATGAGTTGGAATGTTCTGGGCTGGAGGGAGTGGGCTGCAGGTTGGTGGTGAGAGTGGAATCTGAGAAACAGTATGGTTGACTTCTGTGCCCTCGGAGGTAGTCCATCCTAGATATCAAAGGGATGGCATTGCCCGGGGAGGGAGCAGGGTCCTTGTGCTGAACTCATCCTGTGCCAAGCTGACGGCACTTATATGAGTTCAGTGTGGAACGGAGGCTAAATGTGGTGGTGGGCAAGGCCCGGGACCTCCCAGGAATCTCCAGGCCTCCTGGAGAAGTAGGCCGGATGTGGTCCTGCCAATGCAGTGGCCCCAAACTGGGGCAGGAGTGAGGAATCTGGGCCGAGGACCTGACTGGTCCCTGGGGTAACACCACGTGCTCCTGCATCTTTCTTCCACCTGCCCCCGGGGAGGAGAGTTGGGCAGGCCGGAAGTCCACCACTGTCAATCTGTCCTGAGCCTCACAGTACACAGCCCTTTACTGGATTCTGGTTAAAGAGCAAAGAGCCGGGCTGGGGTTCGTGCCCAGCCTCCCTGATACTAGAGTTAAGGCTCTTCCTTGTGTGTGGAAGCTGCAGGGCCAGAAGAGCTGGATGACCCCGAGTGCAGTGATGTAACTCTTCCAGCTCAGGTCACATGCCCAGAGAAAGAAAAGAGGTAACTGAGAGTGACCCAAGTCTCTAGGAGCCATATCGATGACCTGGCTGGCCTCCCTTGACCCTCTGGGCTCCATTTCATACCCCACCTCCCCCACAAAACCTTCTGATGCCACCCCACCAAGAAAAGGTCCTGTCTGATGTCTGCGAGGACGTCTACTCCTGGGCCCTTCTGCTCACAGGTTGCCCTGGAGTCAGGAGGAAGGCTGGCGACTAGGACCTTAGACACGGCTTTCATCCTGCGCCTAGGAGAGCATGGTTGCCGTGGCAGAGTCGTGTGGGTCTGGGCCTCACTCACCGAACAGATCTTAGGTTGACCACCTTGGTATTGGTTTGAAATTATTAAGGCCACTCCACGTAGTTAAAAGGGAGATTTATTTAGTGGCGTAACTTACAAATGAAGGGATAGGTAGGTTGTGGGTTCTGGGAAAGACGCAGAGCAGTCCGGCGGTGTTCTCTGGAGAACTCTCCTGGGTCAACCTCCACCCGTCCACCGTCCGGGGTCCAGGAAACAAGAGAGCGTGGTGCATCCCAATCTCGGGTCTTCAGGGCCCTCCCTTGGCCCCGCCTTGTAGGCGTGACAGTTACGGAAGCCTCAATGGGGGTTGGAACTTCCAGACCAAAGCTGGAATGGCTACCCACTACACCTTGGAGAAACTCAGGGCTGATCTCCTACATCATCTCCTCTCATCTCCAGTCACAGCGAGCCCTGCATCCACTTCACCTTTGACACACTGCTCTGGGACTCCTGTTACCACGCCCATCTCCCCAAGATTCCCTGCGTTCCTTCGTGGAAGGGACTATGGTGCCCGTACCTCTCACTCTCTGCCCCCATCCTTCGTCTGAGGCTACGTGTCTCACGCGTGAATGTCTGCCACTTACCAAGCCTGACACAATGCTATGGACTTGGGTCAAGAAGCCTGGGATGGGGACAGCACCTGACAGGACTTGTGAGTCTGAGTGACTGGCAGAGGGGACCCAGGTCATGACCTCAGTGCAGAAGTCCTGGGGCCAGCGCTGCACTCAGCACAGAGCGGGGACTCCAGCTTCACAGGAGACCAGGTAGGTAGGTGGGCGGAGGTGAGCTCCCCAGCCCTGGGGGTGTGCAAGAGCGGGCTAGAGGTTGGGACTGAATGGGGTTTAGGGCCTCTTGTGGCTCCATGATCCAGGAATTGTGGGCTCCCGTCTTAGAGTGTCTGATAGGAGTTTCCCAAGGGAATATCTACCTTCACATGGACACCTGCCATCTTCCCGATGCTAAAGAGTAGGTGAGAGTGATGGGTGGGGGTGGGGTGTGTGTATGCACATGTGTGCGTGGGTGACTGCGGCCATGGTTTGCATGTGGTCGTCGGCTAGCCAGCCATAGGGAGCCAATGAATATTTGTTTTGTTTTTGGTTTTTTGAGACAGGGTTTCTCCGTGTAACCCTGGCTGTCCTGGAACTCTCTCTGTAGACCAGGCTGGCCTCAAACTCACAGAGATCTGCCTGCTTCTGTTTCCCGAGTGCTGGGATTAAAGGCGTGCACCACCACACCTGGCCTATGAATGTTCTTAAGTGAGGTAACAATGCTGGGTCTTGAGTTCTTGCAGGGTCAGATCTGCAAAGGACTGTTGGAATAACTGGCCTAGAAACAATTGTAATTGGCTCAAGAGCAAGATTGAGTGGAGACGGGAGGCGGAGTTGACTAGGGCAATGAGGGCAATTTTTTTACAGTCCCCTGTCTGGGCTATTGAGGGAAGGGGCTGCGAAAGGGTACTGTGCTGAGTAAGGGCTGTGTGTGTGTGTATGCACATAAATGTATCGCATGTACATTTCTGTGGGTATGTGTGGTATACACACACATATGTATGAATATATGTGCAGATGTGTGTTGTGGTTGTGGGAATGCATGGGTGTACGTGCATATGTACATGTGCGAGCATGTGTGACACATATGTGTCATTGTGTGAACACATGGGTATGCATGCATGTGTGTATGCCTATGTGTGCATCTCATGTGTGCATGTGTGACTGTAAGAGCATGACTGTGCATACATATATGTATATGCATGTTATACATGGTTGTGTGAGAGCATGGGTAGACATGTGTGATATGTATGTATATGTCTGTAGCTGTATGAGCGTACAGTGTGACCATTTGTATCACATGGCGGCAGTTGCCTGGCATACCTGTGTTCTGCTGTCATAGCAAAAGATGCCTGCTGCCGATCACCCTGGCTGGGGGCAGAGGATCCTTTATCTCCCAAGCCTTGCACGGTGATTAAGTCTCCAAACTTTTCCTTAACCATCATATCTTCAAAATGAAAAACCAAATTGCATCTCCGAGAGCTTGGAAATCGATTTCTTTCAAAATGAACTTTTGGTGAAGCGATTCCAAAGAGAAATGAGAGAAGGAAGGGGGAGGGGAGGGACGGAGGGGAGGGGGGCGCGTGGAGGGCCTGGGGGGCGGTTGGGGGGGATGGGGAACGAAGGGCCTGGGGGACAGGGGAGGGGAGGGGAGGGGAGGGGAGGGCCTGGGGCAGGGCTGGTGCTGGTCTTTCCTGGATGGTAGGAGGCGTCAGGAGTCCTCTGCAGAGTCACAGTGACTGACCTGTGGCCACAGTGGGTGCAGAGGTGATTGAGGACTGTTGGAAGTGAGCTCTCAGGAAGGACTTCCCAGCACCTTGAGTGTGCACAGCCTCCTCTCTTTCCTGTCTGCTTTCAGCATCTCGGGGTGTGTGTGTGTGTGTGTGTGTGTGTGTGTGTGTGTGTGTGATGGATGTGGGGCAGCCGGTCCTGAACAGGGTGTGTGTGTTCGTGTGTGTGTGTGTGTGTGTGTGTGTGTGTGTGTGTGTATGTGATGGATGTAGGGCAGCCAGTCCTGAACAGGGTGTGTGTGTTCGTGTGTGTGTGTGTGTGTGTGTGTGTGTGTGTGTGTGTGTGTGTGTATGTGATGGATGTAGGGCAGCCGGTCCTGAACAGGGTGTGTGTGTTCGTGTGTGTGTGTGTGTGTGTGTGTGTGTGTGTGTGTATGTGTGTGTGTGTGATGGATGTAGGGCAGCCGGTCCTGAACAGGGTGTGTGTGGTTGTGTGTTTGTGTGTGTGTGTTTGTGTGTGTGTGTGTGTGTGTGTGTGTGTGTGTGTGTGTGTGTGTGTGTGTGTGATGGATGTGGGGCAGCCAGCCCCGTGTAGAAAGGTGTCTGTCCTGGGAGGGTGTCACACAGGGTCGGGGGGCAGGGTTGTGCGGGGGGGGGGGGGGGGGTTTGGACTTGTCACTGATGTGTTGCTGTATTATAGGAGTTGAATGTCACTCTCAGCCCTGCCAGGTGGGAGGTCTATTCTGCTGGCCCCTCCCTCACTACCCAAGGCTGCCTGCTGCTGCAGCCACCACTGCTGATACTGGACAGCCCAAGAAATAGGTTGGAGAGGAAAAGGCCAGAGCAGATTGGGGAAGACTTGGTGGCTACGGCAGCTGGGAGGAGGGGAGTAGAAGGGGCCCCGGGCTGGAGAGGGTGACCCTAGGGGAGGTAGGAGAGCTGTGGCTGGTGGCTTTTGAGCCGGGGGTGGGGGGAGCAGTTGGGGAGGCCCCTCCTGCTCCCTGTCTGGCTCAGCTCTGGCTGGCAGCCGTGGGTGTTGAATACAGCTCAGCTGAGCATCGAGCACTGGGGAGGGAGCAAGACAGCTCCATGGGTGGATGGGTGCGCAGTGCAGGGGTGGCGCAGGGGTGTCAGCAGCGATGGCAGCAGGAGGTGGCAGGGGATGAGGTGGGGGCAGAGGAGGCAGCTTTGGAAACAGGGCCTCGGGGGCCCAGTTGAGAGGCAGAGCAGCATACTGGAGGTGGCCTGGAGCAGGCATAGGTAGCCTGCCCCTTCTCTGTGCAGGCCATCGTCATAGGACACCAAGAAATGGGCTGGCAGGCTGCCCACCCATATGGGGAAACTGAGGCTCAGGAAAGCAGGCTGTCCAGAAGTTAGCTAGTCAGAACTGGGGTTCCAGAGCCCAGCATTGGAAGAGGGCAGCAGGGGATAATATGACAGATCCTTGAGGCTGGGGACCCCCATCTGCCCCATCCCCAGAGAATCCTCGGACAGGAAGGGAGGATACCTGAGGAGCAGGAGAACAAGCTTAGTCTCTACAGCCCCGGGGCCTCAGTCTACTTCTCAGTGAAATGGAGACAGCCTCAGGCTACCTGTCAATGCTTTCATCTTTGGTGATGAACCCCGAGGTTCCAGCACTCAGAGGAAATGGAGGGGCCCCAGAAAAACTACCTCTTAGCTTTTGGACCTCTGGTTACTCTCAAGCAGTCTGTGCCTCAGTTTCCCTCCTACATGGGGATCCCAGGTCTTCCTGGGCCATGCTGGCACAGGGTAGCGGGGTGCTGTGCCTCCCCACTTCTCTCCTCCCTGTACTCTGTTCCCCCGCTCCCTGACCCTGGCTCCCAGAACCCTGGAGGGCTGCTCTGATGAGAGGTTCATTTTCCTTTCATTGTGCAGGTGACAGACCCTGCTGCCAATAATCTCCTGTGACAAATCAACACTGAAGTCCAGTGGCTCCCTGGCCCTGGCGGAATCCAAGTAGATCGAAGTGGAAAAAACCCAGGGGCTCTGGGGGTGGGGCCTGGAGGGACCGCCACACCCAGCAGGTGCATCGGGAGGGGCCCATTCTCTCTGTCATCCTCGTAGTCTGCCCAGAAATCCCCTCCCTCCTCATTCTTCAGGATGCTCTGAAGAAGCAGGGTGCCAGGTGCCAGGAAGAGGGACCTATCCTGAAGGGGATCCTGAAATGCCTGGGGCAACAAGGAGCCATCAAATACTTGTAAGCTGAGGACGAATGTGAGGAAATCCAATTTCCCTCCTTGTCTCTCTGTCTCTGCAGCACGGGGCTTCCAGGGTAGATCTGGCCGGCCTCTGGGGTCCCAAGCCCTCATCCCGTCATGGGTGAAGGATGTGAAGAGGGCTAGAAGTGGGACCGGTGTGCCACTCTCTGGATAGGCGATCTCACAGATGAGTGGGAGAGCCTGAGCCTGGCAGGAACTCTGACCTGGGGGTCGGGGGTAGGGGTGGGCAGAATTTCCCCTAATGGTCTCATTTTGTGCCTCTTCCTTATTCTGAGGCAGGGGATCTGTCTGCACTGATGCATTTTTCAGATGAGGAAGACACCAAGAAATCAGCATCCCTGGCCTCTGAGTCAGTGCTGGGCACCAGGCAGCGCTCAGTGAAGGGATGGGGTGAGTGGTTGAGATTTTCCTAGCTAAACAGCAAAATCCTCAGAGACGGAATCATCCACTTTGGAAATACAGCTCAGGTGTGGGAAACTGCCTTGACCCAGGCTGCATGGCTGTTCTGCTTTAGGTGTCAGTACCAAACCTCTGGACTTTTTCACTTAGTTGGGTCCCATGGATGCAGAGTGTGAGTAGAGCAGAGTGCCCAGCTGGGCTGAAGTCTCCCTGATTCCACGGCTGCATGGCAGGACCTAGATGGGCAGGGATAGAAGCCCAGTACCGTGACAACCTGCCACTGTCCTGGACAGCAATACAAAATGGGTGTCAGTGGGACAGGAGGGGCTGAACCCCCTTAAGCTCTTGGGGCTCTCCATCCCCCCCCCCTACTGAGCAACCAGAGCATCCTTGGAGGACCCAAGCCTTCAAGGCCTCAGCTTCAAGCCTCTCTTCACAGTCATATGATCCCTGCTTCTGCCAACGACGCTGCCCAGCATGGCTGGGGGTCTATCCTTGTCATTCTCCCTTTGTGTCTCTGCCTCTGTCTCTCCCTCTCCTTGTAGACTAGCTCCACACTGACATTTCAAGCCCCGCCTCCTCAGCCCTTTTCAGCGTAGTGACCTTGCCCATGATCCCTTGCCGTATCTCAGTTGAGTTCACACCCATGGTTCTGAACCTCAGGGTCTTGTGAACAACCTGCAGGTGTTCACGCCTTCCAGACAGGTGGCAATCCTGGGACCCCTGGGACCCCTGGGACCCCTAGGACCCCAGCACTCTTCACCCTGCCGCCACCCTGACTCTGCCTTCTGCAGACCAGGAGGCTCAGCCACCCTCCTGCCCACGCTGTTCTCCTGCTTGAGATCCCCAGGTTAATAGTGTCTCACCTGGATGTCTGGCTTTTTAGAAGTCGCCTCTGTCTGGCTTTCCTGGGTGGTTCTTGTGTGGTTATGACAGAGAGGGACAGAGGCATCTTCTAATGGAAGGCACCTAGGGATGGGGCGGTGTGCTTCCCAGGACAGTTCCAGGGGCCAGGCGGCTTGATTCCTCCATGGGGTGGCCATGTGACCACAGGACCTCACGGGGGGGGGGGGGGGGGGACAGGATCCTGAGGGAGGGGAGCTTTGCTGGCTGCCTTCGGGAGGAGGTATGGGGGAAGTGAGAGGAGGGGCAAGGGCTCCCAACACTCCTCTGGCGTCACACTGGGTCCTGGCTCCTCCTCAATGCCCCACCTGTACCCAGGCACTTGTCAAGGAAGACCAAGGTTTATTCCAGCCAGCCCTCGAACCCCATCCATTCTTCCCTGATGTGACAAGCGACCCAGCCATCCCTGGAAGGGCAGAAGAGGAGTGTGTGTGTGTGTGTGTGTGTGTGTGTGTGTGTGTGTGTGTGTGTGTGTGTGTGTAAGAGAGAGAGATCATCAAAGTGCCCCTTGAGTTTTTTCAGCAGCGTGGCACACGTTCACTGTATTGGGCAGCCATCTGCCATGTTCCTGGAGCCCTCCTTGACTACCAGCCAAGCCCTGTACTCACCAAAAACAACACTCCTCTCCAGCAACCCCACCCCCAAAAGTAGAATCACAGACTCTGTCCTTCAGTGAATGTTCCAATGACCTCTTTTAACAGATAGGTAAACCGAGGCACAGAGAGGCTCTGGTGCTCAAGCTGCATGTCTCTCCTGTACCTTTTCTTCTGCTCCTGTGCGTACCTGCCGTGCCCCACCTTGCTGAGAAAAGAGAGGAACCTGTGAGGAGGGGCGTGCTCTGAGCCCGGGCTGACTAGAGACTGGAAGAGTTGCTCAGCCCTCCTCCGCAGGTGGAGTGTGACAGGTACGAGGATGGCCTTGCCTCTTGGCTGGTCCCAGTGTCTCTTTCCCTGAGGCCGACCCTGAGATCAGGCCCTGCGGGTTGCCCCAGGCTGTGCTGACATCATTTCTCCTGGGCTGTGTGGTTAAGGGAGGGGACAGGCTGGTAGTCAGCAACATGGCCCGAGGGGACACCTCAGGCAAAAGAGAGACTGATACGGCCCTGGCCTCCAGGTGACCTCCACTGCCTGACAGGCCCCACCCCCACTCCCATGTCTGGGCCTCTGAGGCTCAGAGTGTGTGCATGGTTTGTGCATGTGTGTCTGTGTCTGTGTGCATGTGGAAGTGTGAGCGTATGTGTGTGTGAGCGTGTGTGTGCGTGTGTGTGTGTGTGTGTGTGTGTGTGTCTGTCTGTCCACTCACAAGCAGGTCCTGCCATAGTGGCACCTGCAGACCTGTCCCTTCAGTGAAGACTGACTGAAGGCCAAGGGTAGCTGTACCCAGGAACAGTGCTGGACAGGTTTGCCAAGCTGCAAGGCAGGCCAACTCACCCAGCTGCTCTTTCTGGGACTCCACACAGTCCAGTGGGCAGAGTGGCAGGCTGAGTGCACCAGCCACACGCAGGGCTCTCCGAGGACAGGTCACCACTTGCAGAGGGCCCTCAAGGGAGCTGTCTTAGGAAGCCACAGATGAGAGGCGTGGACAGTGCCACCACACCGTGCTTCAGGAAGACCCTTCTCCACAGGAGCAGCATTTGGGGTCGTCCTAAGAAACGGAGACCACCGGAAAAAGCCGAGGGAGCTGACAACACAGGAGAGTTGGGAGCCGAGGTCCTGGGAAGGAACAGGTGGCATCACTACAGTCTAAGACCATGGAACCTCATGGCGCAGTTGGAGGGAGCAGCAGCAGTAGTCTTGGGCCAAGCTTCATCTGGGGCAAACCCATGGGAGATTCCCAGCTTCCCTCAAGAGCCCATTCCAGGGCCTCCTGCTTGTCCATCGCGCCAATCCCACAGGAAACCATTGACATGGAGCCCGAAGAAACTGTTTCCCCGAGCCCAGGCATCTTCAGCTGCTGGGCAGACCAATCCTGTCAGGGACAGCCCGAGGGCTGGTGTTCTCTGCTGGATGCTATCCACTGCTCCGAGTGTGGTCTGGCCCCTGCAAGGCCCTCTTCAGCCTGAGGTTTGACTGTTGACTCTTCAAGGATCTCTCTAGCCTTTAGGTCCCAACTGGGTGTTGAACTGGGGTTGCAGACTGCATAGCCTCTTCCAAAGGCTTGGCACTCAGCCCCAGCTGGGAGAGGGGAGCAGGCATGGGGGAGGTTGGACCTTCAAGAACCTTCCAAGCTGGAGAGGTAGAGAAAGCATCGGGCAGGTTCTAAGAGCTGTTGTGGGCACAGAATCTTGTAGACAGAATTTGTGCACAGTGCAAGGATGCCCACCAGGGCCAATAGGCCTGAGTGTCAACCTAAGCTATGACTTGAAACTTAAGACTTTGAGAGAGATTAAAAAAAATTTTTTTTATATGTGTGTATGTGTGAGTGGGGTCATCTGTGGAGGTTAGAAGTGTTGTCTTCTCTCTCTGGGAGCTGGAGTTACAGGTGAGTGTGAGCCCCCTGGCATGGGTGCTGGGAATTGAACTCGGGCCCTCTAGGAGAGCAGTGTTCACTTTTAACTGTTAGCCATCTCTCCAGCCTGAGAGGATTGGTTCCTGGGACTAAAAGGCCAGGCCCACGAGCACTGGAGAACTTGCAACAGGCCACTCACAATCATCATCAGAGACAGGGCCTGGACGGAGGGCTGGAGGTGCTGGGGTTCCAGCTAGCCCTAGCCGTCGGGCAGGCTTTCTGGCGTCCCTGAGTGCCCCCAGGCCCACCTTGGAACTCCCTATCCAGAGCCCTGGGGATGCTTAAGGCAGGGGCTTGCCTGCCCCGCCTGCCACTCTCAGGCTGGTGGCGGGCACTGGGTTCTGAGGACAACTCCAGACAAGAAGGGAGAGCTGGAGGGAGGGGCCACTGAGGTGAGAGAGGGAGCAGCCGGTGAGTGTTCGAGAGTCCCTTGATCATTCCAGTGATGTTGGGACATACTGTGTGTACACCAGAGGCCTGCTGGGTAATGGACAGGGTCCCGAGGTCCTCTGGGGGCTGTACCTGCAGACCCCTGAAGCTGGACTGGGGATCCCCTCTCAAGTCCTGCGGCCGGTGGCGGGACTGACGCTCTCTGTGATGGATTCTGCCATCCTCCGAGGAAGTGGTACGGGCTGCGCCCCAGGGTGGGGCACAGGGAGGGAGCAGGAGACGGTGTGGTGAGGGCCGCACCCCCCCCCCCCCCCCCCCCCCCCCCGCGCCCCGTCTTTGTCGTCCCTTGCACAGGACGCCCGCCTTTCCCTGGCTTCGTCCTCGCACCCTCCTGTCGCTGGTGTTATTTTTAAAGTTCCGTTTTGTAAACGTTTGTGCTTTATTTGTTTATTCGCTGGAATTACCGGTGCATTTACGCCTTCAATATTTAAAAGGTAAGTGTGTGACATACGGAAGCTTCCCCTCCCCTCCCCCAGGGACCAGACTCCCTCCCCGGAGGCAGCCTGCTTTGCCAACGACTTCCCCTCCAAGGTGTCTGCCTAGAGGAACAAACACAGGCACAGAAAAGCAAACAGGACCTTCTGTTCTCCCCCTTAACTCAGACAGCAGCCTTCTATCACGGGGGGGGGGGGGGGGGGGGGGGGGGGGGGGGGGGTGCTTCCATGGCGGTTTCCCACCAGCATCTAGTTAATAGCTAAGAACACTACTCAAAGTCCAGAGAGGTTAAGACATTGGTCTGGAGTCACACAGCTTGGTGGCAGGATGTCCAACCACCACAGTACACCTATGGTGTGGGCTAGCCGAGTCGGGATAATTTTCCAGAAAGAGGCAAGGGATGAAAAAGGAAAGAGGTGGGTGGGTGGGCAGTGGTTCAGGGTGGGGCTCATCTCTCCTCCTGGGAGTAGGGCGCAGGGCTGACTCTACCTCCCACCCGCCCTGCCCCATCCCTGCTCAAGTCCCCCTGCAGGCCACTGGAGCTGGCAAGTGCCATCCGGTAAATGGGCGCACAGTGGGGGCAGGCAGTGTCAGGATATGAAACTGGAGGAGGATGTCACCCGCTCCCTCATCCCGTGAAGGTTCTGTCCTTCCCTGGGAAGGTCCCAGGACCCCCTGACCCTGGTCTGGCTTCACTGCAGCTTGAGGCCACACCCACTCTGGGTCCTAGCTGGACCCTGGGCTAACCCACCCTGGGTCCTAGCGTGTGGTCTGGCAGAGTCGCTGCAGGTGTGGACCCACACAGGGCTGTTTTTCCCCTTTGTGAGCTGGGCAGGAGCAGGAGAACCGATGAGGACCGAGGTGAAGTGTCTGGGAGGAAGTAACCCTGACCTATGGCCCTCCAGCCCGGCTCCTGGACTTCGCAGGGGCCCAGTCGGTAGCTACTGAGGTTGATGCTGGAGACCCCGGAGTCTGTCTGAGAGACCACTAGGAATTCCCAGCTCCCTCTTGATTTCATGACTCCCACACCATATAAAACCAGAGGGATTCCCAAACTTCCTGGCTCCAGGCATCCTCCTGCCTCATCCTCTGGAACAGCTGGGATTGGGCATATGTCATTGTGCCCGGTCACTCTGTTCACCCACATCTCTGAAAATGTCCAAAAGAAGGAAGAGATTGTTAGTCCTTGTCACTGACCTTATGATTTGCTGTGTGACCTTCGGGTGTACACTCACCCTCTCTGGGCCCACATTCACTCAGACCTGTCACTCAGCAGTTTTCAAACCCTAGCTGCGGGCTGGAGGGATAGCTCAGCTGTTAAAGGCTAGGCTCACAACCAAACCCTAGCTGCATGTCAGTACCCTGCCCATTCCTGAACCCCCCTCACACCCCATGGGAATCGGAACCCTTGCTCTCCTGAGGGAATCGGCAGGCCCAGACACTGCTCCTGTGAAGCGCAGACCGAAAGACCTCTGGCTACTGAGTCAGGGTCCAGCTTTGGCCTCTGACAGATGAGGACCCTGGGCCCAGGCCTCTCTGCTCTACTGGTTCCCTTGCCCAGCTTTACTCTCGGTGGCCAGGGGTGATGATTCTGCCTGTTCCCATTCATGACAGGCCTACCAAGGGCCATTAGCCAAGCCTGTGGGCCTGCTCCCTCCTGCCCACCTACGCAGCTGCAGGCTCTGACTCCTGCAGAGCCGCCAGAACTGGACAGAGCCCTGGCTCCACGTCAACCCAGCCAAGCCCATCACTAGGCTCCTCACTGGGAGAAGCCTGAGTTTCTCAGTTTGGAAAATGGGAGTGATTGTCTCTGCCTCACCGAGTAGTAATGAGAAGCCGGCCCAAGGGCAGGGAAAACTTAACACAGTATCTGATACTTCCAGGCTGGTCTAGAACTCAAGGCAACCTTCCTGCATCCTCCTCCCGAATGCTGGAGTCACAGGTGTGTGCTACCTCAAACCCCAGGTCTCTCAAGTGTTCCTCCCACACTCCAAGTGCCCAGGATCCTGCTGTAGGCAGGGGAGAGGGGGAGTTGGGGTGGAGGGGGGAGAGGGACTGGGGTGTGTGTGTGTGTGTGTGTGTGTGTGTGTGTGTGTGTGTGTGTGTGTGGCGGGATGAGCTGCTTCCTCCTCAGTCCCCAGGGGCTTGTGTTCCACCCTGGCTCCCGAGGAGGAATGGTTCGGGAGAGGAACTGATTGAAATGTACTTTTCGTTTCGGGGGAAAATTAAAGTCTTCAATTTGAGAGCGTGGCAGCAATTAGTGTTTTAATCACGGGAGGTTCTAGAATGCGCAAAAGTGCCCTGGCTGGGGGAGGGCACCTGGCCCTGAGGCTGATTACAGACCTGCTTCCTGCCGGAGTGCCAGTCAGCGCACACCCCCCTCCCCATACCCCCAAAGACTAAAGTCTAATCGGTGCATCCATTTGCTTTCTGAAGGAAAGGAGAGAGGGTAGCGGGGTCCTGTTGCTCCATCCTGCTCTATGGGAGCCATGGAGAGGAATAGGGAGAGCGAAGCCCCCCCCCCAGGGGAGACCCCACCATCTTCCTTAGAGACTGGCTTGGGAGCCTCTCACACCTGGGGCCAAACCCTGCCTCTGCCATGTATTTACCAGCCGCGTCAGCCGCGTGACCGCGAGACATCCACAGGTCTCTGTGCCAGCCCCATGTCTAAGAAGGGGACAACCCCGAGCGGGGCAGCGCTGTGCTCTGTAAACGTGCCTCTCTGACTGTTTTGGATTGTAGAAGGTCCACGCTGAGGAAGAGAGGAAGGGGGAGTTAGCCAGGGTGGGGCTGGGCCCCGTGCACCCTGCTGAGCAGGGCTTGGACCAAAGTGCCAGATGGCTCTGGGGCCACACACTCTGGATGGCAGCAGACAGAGCTGGGGTCAGAAGGCAACAGCCCACTCCTGGGTGGCAGGGCACCTCTGCAGCTCTCTAGGTGTCCGACTAGCTTCTCCCTTCCTCGGCATCTGGCACCCACTCAACTTCCCTCCTGTACCACAGCTCGGCACTGGCAGCAACCAGGCAGACCTGGGATGGTGTCAGACCCCTTGCTAGCCTGGAGTCCTGTTGGGGCATCTCTACATGGCACCTGCAATTCTCTTTGTCCCTGGCTGGTCGTGCATGCTGGTAGCGTTCATCCTCTTGCCCCTCCAGCAAATTGGGTGCCTTGGGGAGGGTCAGCTCCCAGGGACAGTTTTGGGTTCCGAGTGGGGGAACTGGCCTCACGCTCATGTCTGCAGAGTATACATGAAGTATCAGATACTGTGTTAAGTTTTCCCTGCCCTTGGGCCGGCTTCTCATTACTACTCGGTGAGGCAGAGACAATCACTCCCATTTTCCAAACTGAGAAACTCAGGCTTCTCCCAGTGAGGAGCCTAGTGATGGGCTTGGCTGGGTTGACGTGGAGCCAGGGCTCTGTCCAGTTCTGGCGGCTCTGCAGGAGTCAGAGCCTGCAGCTGCGTGGGTGGGCAGGAGGGAGCAGGCCCACAGGCTTGGCTAATGGCCCTTGGTAGGCCTGTCATGAATGGGAACAGGAAGTGCTAAGTTCAAGTTCTCATCTGGTGGGAAGGCAGAGTTCCTCTGTCCACTCTTCCTCCCCTGCCTTCACCTCTCAGGCTGGGGAGGAGAGACTGGGAGATGGGGCTCAGGGAGAGGGCTTAGACCTGCATTGCCAGGGACTCCCGGGCTGTGCCTCAGTTTTCCCTTCTGCCCAATGGGCCCATGACCCCTCCCCTCAGGTCTTGCTCTAAGTACCAACGGGTAAGGCTATAATGCAGTGGTTCTCAGCCTTCCTAATGCTGCGACCCCTTAACACAGTTCCTCATGTTGTGGTGACCCCCCCAACAATAAAATTTATTATCGATACTGTTATGAATCATATTGTAAATACCTGATATGCAGATAGTCTTAGGCAAACCCTGTAAAAAGGGTCATTCGACAATCCCCATGACCCACAGGTTGAGAACCACTGCTATAATGTAAGGGGTGAGCCTTGTAAAAACCTGAGGAGAGGGGACTACTTGGGAGGGTCAGTTCCCGCAAGATACCACCTAGTCGTTGGGGGCCTCAGAGACTGGGGGTGCAGACTGATGTTCCGAGTCATATCAGAGCCTCCCTCCTCCTCTTTCTGTACCTTCCCCAACAGCTCTAAGTGAGGGACCTTCACAGCCAGGCCTGAGTGGGTGGGTAGGTGGCGCTGGCTTAGCCAAGAAGTGCCTGCCTCTGATTCGTGCCTGGTTTCCACGGCAACCGATTGATTGCCCCAGCTGCAGACTCAAGGAGAATGAGCTTTCTCCCAAGCTGGGCTGCCTGGGAGGCCACCAACAGAGGTGGCACCTATGCCTCCCCAATGGAGTCACCTCAGCTCAAGAGCCGTCACTGGCACCTGCTGTGTGCACACGTGATGATGCAGCGGGAGGAAGGCCTTAGCATGTATGAAGAAGCACCTACTGTGTGCAACTGGAGTTCCAGGGCCCTGCGCTGAACCTGGCCCAGGCACATCCCAAGCCTGGGAGCTTAACCACTAGGCCCAGAGGCTTCTCTGTGGCACTGTGAGGACTTAGAGCAGTTAGTAGGGACAGCTTGGACCCCCCGGGCCAGCAGGACATAAGGGTTGGGAGTCCTGCAGCATGGGACTCTGAGGGCTGGAGAGAGTCCCTGCTGAGGGAGGCCAGGCTGGAGCGATGGGTGAGTCGGCAGGGTAAAGCTTAGCTGAGCAAATGGTG